TGGATTTCTAGGACTGAGTATGTTTCTTGTAGATAGCTAAGTAGATAGAACCCAACAAAGAATATCTTGGTCAGAATTATTATTAGAATATTTAAACCCTATATAAAAACTGTACTTCGAGGCAGTAGATTCTACTTGAAATGAAGGGCTTTCCCCCCAGAATCATCAAACTATACTCTATATGCAGATAACCAGAAAACTCAGCCAATGTAAATACTTCACATGTGAACAAGGACTCAATGTTATAGGCTCCTGAGTATGATCTGCGCTCATGTTATACCATACAGAAAATAGTACCTATACATGCATTTTGATATAACACTAGTTTGACTGTTGAAGCTTTTCCTATGCTGTAATCTGGTCAGTGGTAGAATAAAAACAGTCAAAAAGGAACTCTAGGTTTTAAAGATTTCAATTCTTTCAGTGTTCTTCAGAAAGAATCAAAATAAAGGATTCAATTGCTACTTTAGTCCACTGTCCAAAGGAGGAAGTTTTCTCTAAATAGACTCCTAGATTACATTTCTTTATGGCACATTCAATCACCAGCAGAAATCCAATGAAAGACATTGTATTTTCATGAGATGCAAAGGTTCTGCTCTGAGTACAATGTGAAGAACCAGATCCTGGAGAGTATGTCCATGGTGTTTATTACTGCCAGAAAGACAAAGCAATAATCTCTCCTAGATCACTCAAGTAAAGGATGAACACCAATGTTCACATTGTCATCATTTTCAGAATACCTGACAGATTATGAGTGAGGTAGATTAGTTATCTCCTTTATGTGTCACATCAGATCTACAGGAGAAATAATATAATTATATCCATTTGGAAGAACAGAAAAACAAAGCTGAGCTACCTTATCTGATTTGTTTGAGGTTACAGAGCAAATGCAGGTTTTGTTCAAGGTGACCTGTGGAACATACACCTGAGATGTACCCTACCTACTGGTTAGAAGGATGATAGTTATGTACGTTGCTAAGTAAATTATAATATTTTAACTTGTAAAGCAAAAATGTTTTCCCAATTTGAATTGGGGGACTTAATTTGCACCAATAATGAATAAAAAAGGAGAAAGTTGGTAAATGTCTCAGTATTTTATGGCATATATATTATGATGAAAAGAATACCAGAGCCTTGCTGCTACTCCTCAGGGGAGCACTCTTATTCCTGTGTGAGCCTTTATAGTTAATGAAAAATTCAATCCTTTTGTTGGTGGTGATGGTAGTGGTTAAAGGTGACTTTTTTCTTTCTTAACTATATTAAATATGCAGCTTATATATGATATTTCCAGACTGCCATCTTTGTAACTCTCAAGTTTACCTCAGGTCACTCAAATCAAAACAATCACAAAGCAATTTTTCAATTTTTATTTAACACAAACAGTTCAGATACCCAGTATCTCCCCTGAGAATATCTTTTATCTAATGGTTTTCATGTAAGGCCAACGTGATAAGTAGCCATTTTTGCAATGACTGAGAAACTGGGAAACTGGTCACATGTATTTCTGATCTAAAATATCAAGGCCAACTAGTCTTGGTCTAAGTAACTGTATACTGTCACCTGCTTTTCCTGTAATACTAGTCTTTACTTGCCATACTCATACTTTAGAAATAAATTAATAGATTTATTTACTAGTTTTCTCTCAGGTTTCAAAATTTAGGATGGAACAAAAAATTACCAATCAATAAAGCAAATATAATTAAAATTCTGCTTACAGATATAGATTACCTGTGTGTGTATGTGTGCATGTGTGTGTTTGTAATATGTATACACATTCTTGATTGTCTATCTAACGTTGTTGGACCTTGTTTTACAATATCTAGTTTACAATCTGTTTCAAGAGATTATTTTTAAGTTATTCTGTTTTAGTTATTGCCTAAGTATATGTATGCATGTATGTATGTATACCATATTCATATAGGTGCTAAAGGTGGGAAATGAATCCACTGAAACTTGAATTACAGAAATATGTGAGCCATTTGTCATTGATGTAGGGAAACAAATCTGCTTTCCTTTCAAGAGGAGTAAATTCTCTTATCTGTTAATCCATTTTTTCTATGCTCTAAAATCTAGTTTTTAGTTTTTAACAGATAACTGTAACAAAAGATATTAATACACATCATAGTTGTGAATATAACTTACACGTGCAATTTCAGGACAACCTTGGATTTGGCAGTGAATTACATTAAGTTTTCCAGCTTAATATTATTTTTTTGGTATCTCTCCATTTTTTTCAAATAATATTGCATTTATTTTTGTATAGAAAACACGGGTATTGCTAAAATATATACATATGAGAATATTTACACAAGTTAATTAACAGCAAATAAACTTTGCTAAATTAAAATATATTAATTGCTATCATTCTTATTTGAATTCACATCTCACATTCATTTCCAAATAGTAATTTTTCTATAATGCCTAATATTGTACTTGTCTTTGGTGTGAACGTGAATACCCTTAGCTTTTTTTAATCTCAGTTTGCTAAAAGTGACTTTGGATTTGAATCATTATGCATGTTTATGTGTTTGTGTGTATGTGAGGGTGTGATATTAAGGACTCACGCATATTAGGCAAATGTTCTACCAGTGAGCTTTAGTTCAAGTCTAAATTTCATGAAGTTTTAACAGTTCTTTACATTTAAGACTGCTTTATTCTATGTAAATGTGGCCCATAAAATATCTTCTGATGTTGCAGAAGAATAAATTATAATCAAGTGGATCTAAATTGAGAATATATGTTGTTCTTAGGTGTATAGTGACATGTGGCAACAATATACTAAGTTAGAGAAAAGTAAAACCTACATTCTACATAAAATAAATAGCTAAATTTCCTTTAAATATTTTACATTCATTTTGTGTGTGTGTGTGCACATGCACGCATATCCACACATCAATGTGTGTGCTACAGAGCACATGTGGAGCTGAGAAGATAATTTGCAAGAATATTTTCTCTCATTATACCATTTGGGCCATTTTAATTACACTTACATTCCTAGTCTTGGTGGCATATACTTTTTTTCATGCATAGTCATCTAGAAGATGTGAACTACTCATTTCCAATTGCTCACAAGACTTTCTCCATTCCCTCATATTAAGAAAATATCAAGATCCATAGTAGAAGCCTTTCGTTTTTATGTTTACATAAATACAATAGAACACGAAATAGTTATTCTTTGATGGTCATATACTTCATTGGTCATAATCCGTAAAAGTTCATTGGGTCTGAGCTTACCATCAGCTTGAACTTGGTACATGGGATAGTCTATAATGCAGAACTGATACTAGCAATAAGAAAATGATGTAATATCAAACTTAGTTTGCTTATTTACCTCTTTATCTAGTTTCCTTAACAGAGCAGAGAAGAATAAGGCTAGCCTGGGTAATGACTACAGTGAACACAATTTTTCACAGTTATCTTTAAATCTTGGAGAAGTAGATATCTCAGTTCAATAGAAATAGAAAATTATGTTCAGGTATTGGCTGAAAACACAGACAACTAGCAAAAACACAAGCCTATAATCCTTCTGCAAACATTTTATTCCTGTGTAGGAAGCAATAGCCACAGCACTGGCTTGAACAGCTCCCATGGGAATTACAGAAGGATAGAGAATTAATAGTGTTCTTACATCTTTGTAAGACTTCCTATCCCAAGACACCTATGGAGAGAAAGTTGAGTCAACATTTGGGAAATATGACTATTCACTTTAATAACACATTTGGGATACTAATGCAAATATATTCACAATGCATTTACATATTTTGTTTGCAGTTTAGTATTCATATTAGGTACTGAAATTTAGTTCAAAAAGTATTGCAACAGCATACAACTGTATTTTAAGTAGTGTATTTAATTACGTAAAAAACTGATTTTATAGTAATTGACCCACACAATTACAAGTACACAGTCACTATTCTCCTGTGATAGGAGAAATAATCAATAGATCCTCTGTAAATTTAATAAACAGATACTTTATCTTGATTACACTGACCATAGCACAGTAATGATACTTCAGGTTATATTTACATGTGCAAACAAAAGAGGAAGGTGAAAAGTTTACATAATTCAAGTTAACATTGCAAAAAGTTTTACCATGATCAGTCTAGGTACCTTTGAAAAATTGGTAAGAGGAGGAGGTACAGAAGAAATAAAATGAACTGTTTTACTGAACTGAAAGTAGGTAGATAATTGCCCTAAACTATATGTGACCTGTTAACCTAACCTCAATTCACTATAGGTGGATTACAAAAATAACCTCAGAAATAACATACTTAAGAGTTGAGATTTCAACATATAACCTTAAATTACCTTCCTTAAAATAAACATTTCAGATAGCATTATTTGGTTTTCAAAACTCACCTAATAAGAGAATTCCATCTATCTTCTATAAGGACTATACATTATACAAATAGAATATTCTTTCGCTTAATATCTCTGAAAAGTTTATCAGACACGGTTAACATTTAAATTTCAATTCCTAAATGCACACTTTTAAACTCTCAGAAATTCAGTCCTGCATCATTACACCTAACGTAAGTACGGGGACTTTGTTGAAGTAGAGACTTACACAGAATCTCACAAATTATTTGCCCCAAGAAAATTTCAGAGTAAAATTTTACCTCTGACATGAAGGAACAAAGTCAAGCAAAATCAAGCTACCTTGGCACCCTGCAGGTCTCTAAACAGATTACTAAGGAAGCAAGAGAAGAAGTCATCCCCCTTTTCACATAACCTTTCATTTTCTTTTGATGAAAAGCAGAGCTATCAGATTTGATAAGAATATCTCCGGGGGAACCTGGGGTGGGGGGGGGGGAAGAATACCTCCGAAATGTCATCATCCCCAAATACAGCCTGGTATCCAGGACACTTGCTTGTGAAACTGAGCCTTGCCCTGCCATAGACAGCCACTTACTGCAGTGCAGAATGTCAGCGCAGACAGTAAGAACTTTCCGTGCAGAGGATTCCGTGAGATGCAGCCAGTCAGGCGCAGCAGCACTTACCTTAATTGAAATACTCTCAGTGATCAAGTGAGAAATCCGTCAGATCAACCGTGAAACGGTAGTGAGATCGAAGTTTTCAATCAACACCCACAGAGTGGCAGCGTGCTGTGCTCCTTTGCCTCTGTTTATGCCAAAATCCTCGCTGTCTGAAGGGAGAAAAAGATCAGCTGAAATCCTTAGAGATTCCCAGTGAGTAAATGAGGACGGAGCGGTGTTTTCTAGCGGGAGTTTCTCTATGAGCCTGCACTGTTTGCAGGCTCCCTAACTGCCGTGATGGACGCCTGTCAGGTCCCTGGAGCCGGGCAGTATTCATTGACCTGATTAGCAAGCAATGCTCCCTGCGTGCAGGCAAAGCATGCCATGCGGAGTGGTTGTGGGTCTCCTGGGAATCAGAAAAGGAACCGAGGCCACTTGGGAAACAGGTCTTTTCCAGCCTGATGGATAAACTACAACTATGACTATAATTTATAGGGTGATTAGCCACAGTGTTAGCCATTGCAGGACTTCAGAAGATCAGCTTTCTCCAGCCGATTTTGTAAGATGCATTCGTTTTGGATATAAGGCGCAGAGAGACAATTACTAGACTGATCGGGCTGATTTGTAAGCCAAGCCTAAAGCTGAAACATGTTTAAAGCAATGTGATAAAAGAGATAGCTGGATTTGCCTTTGCCCCTAGCCTGCTACATATATCAACCTTTGTCTAACTAAAATGACTTTAAAGGTTTATTACAGCCCTCCAGAGGGCAACTCTCTGACTTGTAGAAAGGCAGTATTAATGCTAAATAAGCATATCTGGTAGTTTTGTACAGACACCAGCATACAAACCAAAGCATGCAAATCAGAGCAATGCTCCTGTACTTTTTCAAATAGTATTTTTATATTAACATCACATTTACAAAAGAAAGGTTTATGTTGTTACCCAGAGTAACAACAGAAGTCTATTAGACACCTAACAGAGACATTGTTTCTATCACCTGTAAATGCTGAATGAAATAAACAGCAACAATGGTATTTGTACCCAAGGGAATAAATACCAAGGACTGTTTAAGTGTAGTGAAGTACATTTACCTACCTGCTGTTCCTCATCCATCATCCACCCTTTCACCCACTTTCTCAGTAGGTATCCTCCACTGTCTCCCATCCAAAGTTACTTGGTCTCTGGAAATACCTAATGCTGTGGAAAAGGTCACAGAACTGAATGTTGAAGCCCCAAATGGTTAATTTTTGACAGCTCTCACTTTTGCATGGAGAAAATTATGCAAATAACATAAAAAGAACAGATGAAAAAAGTCATTTGCATGTCTTGAGGGTGAGAAAATTCTCTTGCCAGAGAGGAAACTGACGACTGTCCTCTCACAGCAATACTGTGTGACATATACAGCATGTCGTCTCCATGTAGGTCTCAACTGGGACATATGGTGTCCCCTTGGTATGTAGGGTATGCGTGTGACCCAGAGAGATGGGGGAGGGGGCTTCTTGCTTTGTAGTACTCACGTGTGTTTGAGAAGACTCCCAAGTCCAAATAACAAAATGTCCAAAACACACAGTAATTGTTTTGTTTGCCTTGTACACAGCAAATAAATTTTGTTTTGATTTGTCTCATTTAAAGGTCTAACTCGGTGGTGAAACTTCTTGGTCACTAGAAAACCCAAGGATGGAACTGAATTGATGTGCATGGGGCTGTGCTCTCCCTGGGAGAAGGCACAGTTTCCTAGGGAGAGGTCGCAGAGCAAGGGGCTGCTCCTACCTCCCATGAAGAGGTCTGGTGCTCCCTCAACTGGTGGAGGGTGAGAGCTGAAAGTGAAACAACTTGATCGATTCAAGTCAGGATGAGGAAGCAAGTTTTGCCACTCTGAAGCAGGAAGCACATTATCCAATTATAGACAGGCAGTGGAGGGCTCCAGCAGAAACCAGGCTCCTTAAATCGAAATTAATGCACCCAGCTCATAAATAGCAAACAGGAACTACACCTGCTAATTTCTTCACAGAGCATTCCAGCTAGGTTGTCCAGGGCACTTACAAGTGACACTTGGTTATGTTTCGTGTCTCTGATGTGTAGGCGGTGTTCATGCAATTAGAGCACTCTGCATGTATTATTGATCAGAGTCTGGCATAGAGCACCTTTGCTTAAATAGTAGCCTCTTTTTAAAAGTTTTTAAAGCCTTAACACTGTACTTGTTTTCCTGAAAACCGTCCCCCAGCAATTACCTTTAAAAAGGAAGGTAGGTGTATCAGAAACTAGCTTCTTGCTGGAGATGTGTCACAGAAGAAAATAACACTGCTGGTCCTTCCACATTCTAAGACTTTTCATTCCCCACCCAGTAAGACCTTTTACTAACCCATTTCTGCAGACAGTGTATCTTCAGTATATATTAATCTATGCCAGACTCTAAATGCGTTTATGTGACAAAGAGAGCAAGCAGAATTTTGTAAGAAGTATATGAAGAGTTAAGTGAAGCGACAGTACCAGGCGTCTTAACTAGGGTTTCTATTGCTGTGGTCAAACACCGTGGCCAAAAAGCAAGTTGGGAAGAAAGGGTTTATTGATGTTCATATTGAATAAAGTCAGGCTAAGAAGTCAAGCAGGGCTGGACCCTGGAGGTAGGAGCTGATACAGACGCCGTGGAGGGGAGCTGCTGGCTTGCTCAGTCTGCTTTCTTATAGAATCCAGGACCATCAGCCCAGGGATGGCACTACCCACCATGGGCTGGTCCTCCCCCATTTACCACTAATTGAGAAAACGTCTTAAAGCTGGTTCTCAAGGAGGCATTTCCTCTACTGTGTCTCCTTCCTTTCTGATGGCTCTAGCTTGTGTCAATTTAATACACAAAACTGCCAGGACGCTCAGTACAGCACATTAAATGCTTGCTTTATCCCATGTGTTCTCAATGAACTTCAGCTGTGGCTCTCATGTTTGACATATTGAGCTTTAACCTGTTAGCCACACTTCACCATCTTTTCGATATTTTTACCCAAATTATGTATGTATTGTGTGTTTTCAGGGTCACAGGACATCTTTCAGAAGTCAGTTACCTCATTGAACCATGTGGGTTCTGGGGATCTAACTTAAGCAGCTATACTTGATCTCACAGACCTTTACCAACAAGCTATCTTGTAGGCTCTCTTTCCAGTATTTTGTTAATTAAAACTTAGTAAACACAAATAAATTAATCAATGCTAAATAGAAAATAATAGAATTAAAACAGTTAACTGTAACTATAAAACTCCAGTGACTATAAAATTTCCAGTTCAGAAAACAAAAGTAAATCTTCAGCAGTGCTTGAGAGAGTGGCCGCTGTGCTACACGTGGGCAACAGAGTAGAGCTGGCCCTGAAGGTGTAGATGTCAGAGAGCTGACCCTGAAGTCATGAAAGCCAGAGACTGGTCCCTGTCCTTGCTCATAGCTACTAAATGTGAACTCGCTAAGGCTATGTAGGAGAGCTTACCCTGGTGGGGAGGACGGTGGAGATCTGGTGGGCTGACCAACTCTGCAACATACCAGGCCCAGAAACATGGGTCTGTGTTTGCCCACCCCAATATCCACCCCATCTGTGAACTGCTGGAGCAAGTGAAGGGAGCTGTCCTACAGACCCAAAGCATAGGATCTCCACAACACAGGGCAAGAGCAGGATAACCCAGAGGCAGTCCATTGAGGGCCAGCATTGATAGTGTAGCAAAAACTAGAGGCCTAGAATCAGACCAATGACTGTTTACAAAGAACATTTACAAGTAAAGATAATATGGACAAAAGTTTCCTGCGTGACTCACTATGTCATTCTACAACTTCCATTGTTTCCCACTTTAATTTTATCTGGTGGGTGTGGGGAAGCTGCAAGAGCATAGATCAGATACACAGGGACAGGAAATGAAAGGAATCTATATGCATGATGTGAAAGATACACAGAATAAGCAAAAATAATTTAAAAAAAGAAAACGAAAGTAAGTATACACTTCCAATGGGAAAGGAAAATTACATTGACATTGTTACATATGTTACTAAATAAACATTCCGTTGCAATACTTTTCTTTTTGTTGATATTGGTGGGTTTTTTGTTAGTTAGTTAGTTTTGTTTTGTTTTGTTTTCAGACAGGAGACAGGGTTTCTCTCTATAACATCCCTAGCTGTCCTGGAACTTGCTTTGTAGACCAGGATGTCCTCCAACTGATTGAGATCTTCCAACCTCTGCTTCCCAAATCCTGGGAATAAAGGTGTGCGCTGCCACCCCCTGCTAGTTTTGGTTTTAATATATTATGATATGTCAGGATATATCTCATTAGAAAAAAATTCAAAAATAAATGAGACTAAAAATAAACTACATCTAGAAAGCTCTAATGTTTTATGTAGCATGCAGTTCATCTTAAACAAAATGCACCTAATGTTCAGATGAAATCTTAGACAAGAGCACAGAAAGATGATAAAGAGCCAGAGAAACAGGGAGTCTGCTTTGAAACAGTGTCTTCAAGTTATGAAGGGAAGCCACATCTACCAAGTTATCAAGAGTATGACTGCTTAAACAAGACTGGAGCAAATGACAACACCAATAGTTGTACCCATATAGATGGGTTGGGGAGGGGTTTCAGAGGGCACCACTTCTAGATGAAGAGCTTCAGACAACTAAGCACTGCTGAGAGAGAGAGAGAGAGAGAGAGAGAGAGAGAGAGAGAGAGAGAGAAAGAAAGAGAGACAGAGACAGAGAGAGAGAGAAAGAGAGAGAAAGAGACAGACAGAGACAGAGAGAGACAGAGACAGAGACAGAGAGAAAAAGAGAGAGAGAGACAGAGAGACAGAGAGACAGAGAGAGAGAGAAAGAGAGAAAAAGAGACAGACAGAGACAGACAGAGAGAGAGACAGAGACAGAGAGAGGGAGAGAGAGAGACAGAGACACACACACACAGAGAGAGAGAGAGAGAGAGAGAGAGAGAGAGAGAGAGAGAATTCTCTAGGGTAAACCTCCTAATTGGTTAATTGGTTGTCCAGTACCAAGTGGTCAGACCTAAACACAAATCTTAACTGTAATACAAAATGGCTTCAGCAGGCTATGTATGTGTCTGTGTATGTGTTCAACTTTATATGTAAGAATAAAAATTAAATATTAAAGGGCCACGATTTGAGGAGTAGGACAGACACAGAAAAGGGGAAATGAAG